ACAACAACAACAACAACAACAACAACAACAACAACAACAACAACAACGACGTCAACCGAGATTCAATGACCTCCGTCAATGTACAAGCTCGCCATGGAAGACGATCGTAGACCATTAGCGATCGCAAGGAGATCAGTGTTGGTGAAGTCCACAGCTTTTTTCAAGAGGAGTTGAAGGAGTGTCGTGCATGGGTTAAGCCTGAGAAAGTGAACAACATGAATAAGTTGATCAACCGTAAGTATATGGTATAATGTTATCATATTAAGATGCTGAGGTTCATGCATATGATTAGCTGTTACTGGAGAAAGACTCCCGAAAAACAACAGGGTGAAAATTGCATGGAAGTTCTCCTATGTGTGCCATCGTGCTGGAACACAACAAGTACGTAAAGACCGTGTTCCAGGTGGCTCGAGTGGAAAAAAAAGAGATCGAGGCAATGAGTCGTCGAAGAAATGCGACTGCCAAGCGAGCTTAGTCATTGTTTGTTATGCGGATGATCTGACCAAAGCCCAAGTGGAATATCGCAACACGCGTAATCATACGCTGACTGAAGACACCTGGTGCTTGCCTCGTTCTGACGAGCTCAACGATGAAATCGAGAAAGAGGTGAAAAAGAATTACAGCACCAGAGAAATCGTTATGGCACTTGAAAGCAAGTATAAGGGTTTGCCTGATCATCGACGTGAAGCGAATGTCCATGCACGCGATGTCATCAACAAGCGTCAAAAGCATCTTCGCAGCACCACTCGTTTGGATGCAAATGACTTTGTTTCTGCAAGAAAATGGCTTGAGAAGTTGCATGCGGAACGACAATTTGCTGTATGGGGTGATAATGAGTATGATCTATCTCCACGATCTCACCTTAGCAAGTACTCATTCGGATTTATGTCTCCTTCGCAATATGCCGAGCTTGTAAAAGCAAAGGCATGGGGCATTGATGCTACGCATGACATTGGACCATATGCCAGTGGCGTTCTTTATACCGTCATTGTGCGTGCTGACACTGGTAATGGCATACCTGTTGCGTACTTGTTCACAAATGATCTGTCAGCCAAACCTTTGATCGACTGGTTTTATGAACTTCGTGACAGGGAAGCTGCACCAACAAAGATCACCATCGATGCCAGTCTTCCCGAAGATAACGCCTTGCAAGCAGTCTTTGGTGACCATGTGTCAATTCAATATTGCATGTGGCATGTTCGACGTGCTTGGACATCCCAGTTACAAGCACGTGTGAAAACAGCATCTGTGGATGAGACATCGAATGCAAGTGACGGTGATGATGATGATCAACAGCAACAGCAGCAGCAGCAGTCCGATAACGATTTTTCGGATGACGGCTCGAATTCCGAGGACGATTCTGATGAGGAAACTTCCCATACGGTTGAGAAGGTACCAGAAGACGTCAAGCATACTCGTTCATGTATGAACAACGACCTAGAGGAGCTGATGTATGGCAGGGATGTTGATGCTTTTCACCAAAAGCTTCATGAATTTGAAGAAAAGTGGTCTTCATCTCAGCCATCTTTCTGGGGATACTTTAACCGCTATTGGATTTCCAATGAAAAATACAAGAGATGGGCCAAATGCTACCAACCAGCCATGTATACAAATATGGAGACAAACAATTACGTTGAAAGCTGGCATAGGGTGCTTAAGCATACCTATCTTCGCCGTAAACGTAATCAACGACTTGGTCTCCTTATTCACATTCTGGCGGAACGAGTTGAGCCTGACATGATACGGAAAGCGCGTGTTCATAAAAACCGTGTTGGTCCAATGTCCCCTGAAGAGGCATTTGCACGCAGGTTGGAACGTAAGGCCAAGGAGTTTTTAGAGAAGGGTGATATCCAAAACCCTGTTGAAAAGCTCAGTGACGACACTTTCCTTGTACGCTCTTTTGTGGCAAGCAAAACGGAGAAGTATACTGTAATTATCAAATCTCCTGCGGGCAGATAGTGACAAATTGATTTGGCTAATATACTTCATTGTATTCTAGGTCAAGGCAGAAGGCTTTCACATTAAGCGTTGCAACTGCCATGCTTATTACAAAAGTAATAACCATGGTTGCAAGCATATGTATCTCGTTCCTCTCATTCACACACAATACTTTGCCCGTGCACCTATCACTACTTATGAAAATGTCACTGCTATCCCATCCATCCGTGGTGGCTCACCATCCCCTTCCGCATCCTCTTCCTCTCCATCATCTCGTCCGTCTAATTCAGCTTCCACGCCACCTACCCCTATAGATCGTGTTACTGAAAGAAAGGAAAAGCTTGCCAGAGATTTGCTGGCCTTGAGCCGTCAAGTTAAGGCAGCTTCCTTTTCATCCACCAGCAGTACGATCGACCATTTTGATGATTGGCTGAACCAAGTTGAAGAACTGAAACAATCCATCATCACCCATTCCTTTCCTTCCTCCAATGCTCGCTTCCGTAAACAGTAGATGTTGCTATACATTGTCACCCTTTCCTTTCCTTCTTGAAATAACATTTTCATTATCAGATAGTCATCCAACACCAATATCTGTGAGCCACAAAGCCATCATCGTAGAGTTGATAACCATATATTCAAGCAATAGCAAAGGCAAGATGATATATAGTGGTGAAAGGTGATTTAAGCTGGTAGGTGGGTAGTGTGTACTTGGTATGGCTATCAAGTGTTTCGTGGATCCCCTTCAGTTGTGCAGTATGATGGCCTGTATGCAAATGTCAAGCATTATCAATGGTTATACATGCCCAGAAAAAGGAAGCATACCATATGAAGACGTTGACCAAGGTCAAAGTTTGAAAGGCTGTTGTTTCGTGTATTGTGTCGTTGTCTACAAAAAGAGTGGCTCAATCAAAACAACTACGATTGCGAAGGAGCAGTTTGCAATTGAAGGTGAACCTGATTGCTGATTGACATGGAGTGGTGAAGGAGGGTTAAATGAGTCAAAGAGGAAGCAAGGACACTGAAGAGAGTGAGCGCGTATGTCAAAGGGTACCTGGGCAGAATAAAAGAGCTGACTGAATTTGAAATTTGGGTGGGGGGAATGGACCCAACTACCCGTTGACATAACCAACCCCGGCAACATTAGCTCAAACAAAAGATCACATGTACTCATCAATTCTCCCATTCTTATACAGAATAAGCGATACTGGGCCTTAGTAGATTCAGGAGCTGAAATTTCTGTTGTTAATAAAAGATTGTGTCATGATAATAATTGGACTATTCAATCTATTGATGGGAACATATTGTATCTAGGTACAGGTGATCGATGTGCACGCATTGGTATAACCGAGCCATTGCACATCAGCTATAATGGTCATAAGACTACATTTGCCTTTGAAGTGATGGATCTTGATAAAGAGGATGTCATCATTGGAGCGGATTTGATGCCGCATATTGGACTTGCAATTACAGGTTTAGCTGTCCGCTGGGATGATGAAGAAGATTCTAGTGAAAACGAGAAGCCTGATTCAGACACTCCTAATGACGCACCTGCAGGTCCTGATGATGAACGTAAAGCTTTCTTTAATGGGATTAACAAGTTCCTTGAAGCTAATGCTAACATCTTGTCCACCACGTTTTGTAACATTCCTGAATCAATTGTGGAGTTGCCCACGCCCGATGGTGTCACTTCGTATCACCGCCAATATCCTATACCGTTTAAGCTGAGACCAGTTATTGATGCTGCTGTCGAAAAATGGCTAAAGGATGGTGTCATTGTTAAAGCTCCAGTCAACACG